CGACCGTTGTACAAGAAAGCCGTATATTTCTGACTATCTGCGTCTAGCGGAATTTGCCAGTACGATGATCGGAGATCTATGGTGGATATATACGAGATTCCATGGTACCAAATCAAATCAAATCAAAAACATTTATTTACGAATTACAATATCACAGTTTACATAAAGTATACAAAACATAAAAGGTAGAAAAAAGTACAGAGAGATTTTTAAAAATATATAAAATATATGACCATCCCTCTGGGCTGCGTCCAGGGGCCATGACCTCCCGAATCGCCGACGATGACAGTCGCTCTTCATGTTGCATCTTCATTTTCACGTTTCTAGCGTCTGGCCGTTTGTTCACTGAGTGATTATAAGGCTCTGCTGGTATGAGGGACCTAGGTCGATATTTAATAGATTGTCATTTTTTGTGGTTACTTTTAAAATAATTTATGTAGCTGCCCAGGAAAAATTGTAAAAAACCTGGTGAAATAATTTGAAGAATTTGCTGGTTTCGGAGTGACGCGGTTTCACGACTCCAGCAGCCTGCCGTCCTGGGGGCCCTCCCGCCACACACACCTACGCTGTGTTGTACCACAGGGTGCTCTACCACGGTGAATCCGTGTCGTGTGGCAGGTTTGCCCCCACGACCACAAGCCGCCGCATCATCCACCTCGTCAGCTCCATTTTGTGTCCAGTTCTCTCTAAACACATTGTATAGTTGTCGTGTTGGGTCTTAACAGCCCGGTATAGTCACCATACCTTTATGGGAATAAAGGTATGGCTACAGGGTCGGTCGCCACACCTTTGCGGACTTAGTAAAAATTCCGCAAAGGTGCGGCGACCGATCATAAAGGTGCAGCGACCAGTTCGTCGCTACACCTTTACGGACTTGGAAGAATTTTGGTTTGTCGCTACACCTTTATGGACTTAGTATTATTGGGTTTAGTTGCCCGTCGCTACACCCTTATATTGAAATAAAGGTGCACCGTCCGGGGAAATAGAGGTTCGGTGACTGTTCAGTCACCACACCTTTATATAGTATTGGTCAATTATTTAGTTAATGGCATGAATGGTCGGTATGGCAGTCTTGGGTTAGGTGAGTCACTTTTATTGTTATGGTTTCGTCTTTGAAGAACTAGGGTAGATGGTGTTTTCTGTATTTTGGATGGGTGGTCGCCACACCTTTATTCGGCTGTCGACCATGTTGCTGAAATTGGCGCTGGCCCGGGTCCATATGCAACGAGTGCATATGGTCGAGTGCGTCAGTTAGCGACAGCCGAAAAAGTGCGCTTATACAGGGTGGCCGATTTATCTGAAGACATTGAAATATTTCGAAAACTACGCATCGGATCAAAAAAAGTTTTGAATAAAATTTGTTCGCCTGGAAGGGGGACATCCAATGATACCAAAGTCGACCCCTCACCACCACCCCATGGGGTGGGGGTGGGGGCAACTTTAATATTCTAAATAGGAACCCCCATTTTTTATTGCAGATTCGGATTTACTATTAAAAAATAAGTAACTTTTATGGAAAAACTTTTTTTAAATTCCTGATAGATGGCGCTGTAATCGCAAGAAACCCGATTTTTGGGAATATCTTAAAAAATTACACATCGGATCGAAAAAAAGAAAAACTTGTTTAATTTTTGGATTTTATTCGTATATCAATAAGTTAACATCTATTTTTAAAATTACCCAAGAATGGGAAATCCGAATCTGCAATTTTTCAAGATATTCCCAAAAATTGCGATTACAGCGCCATCTATCAGGAATTTAAAAAAAGTTTTTCCATAAAAGTTACTTATTTTTTAATAGTAAATCCGAATCTGCAATAAAAAATGGGGGTTCCTATTTAGAATATTAAAGTTGCCCCCACCCCCCACCCCATGGCCATGGGAACATGGGAACATCAAAAGGAATTAATTAATTTAATTTATTTTGAATTCCCTTACAATTCTCGTATACACTAATTATATTTTTTAATGGGAAATCCGAATCTGCAATTTTTCAAGATATTCCCAAAAATCGCGATTACAGCGCCATCTATCAGGAATTTAAAAAAAAGTTTTTCCATAAAAGTTACTTATTTTTTAATAGTAAATCCGAATCTGCAATAAAAAATGGGGGTTCCTATTTAGAATATTAAAGTTGCCCCCACCCCCACCCCATAGGGTGGTGGTGAGGGGTCGACTTTGGTATCATTGGATGTCCCCCTTCCAGGCGAACAAATTTTATTCAAAACTTTTTTTGATCCGATGCATAGTTTTCGAAATATTTCAATGTCTTCAGATAAATCGGCCACCCTGTATAGGGTAAGAGTTATGCTCTTCCCTATAAGTTTAGTGTTAAAAGATTTTATTTAGAGGTGTGGCGACCTGATATACAGGGTGAATAAAAGTGACTCACTGCCTCCTTTGGTACCGCTGTAGTAATTCGTCTATCGGCGGTGGCGTCTCGGCGTCTGCCTCCATCTGCGCGTTGATCCACCGCGCGTCTAAACATATACGCACGGTCCCATCTTTCTTTTTAACTACTGTCATTGGGCTCGCAAACGGAGAAGCTTTACGTTCGATTACGCCTAACCTTTCCATCCCCCCCAATGTGACCTCGACAGCGGACCTCGATGCAAAGGGTACGGGGTACGGTCGTCGTATAAATGGGGTCTCGGTAAGCATCTTAATTTTATGAGTGTATTTATCCGTACGTCCTGGGTTCGGACGAAAAACTGTTGAAAACCGCTTAAGAACAGAGCTGCAAGCTTCAGTCAGATAGAAACGATTTAAGTCAAAAAAAGATTTAAGTCTTTTTAAAAAATATTTAAGTCAGATTTTTCATATATTTTTTAATAAATTTTTAACAGCAGCATTTTATTTTGAACTGCCATGGGTTCACGCGGCAGCAGATCAAAAACTCCTTTAATTTCCTACCTACAATTGCTACCGCTAGTGGATAAAAAAACCGCCGCGGTAAAGTTAGCTTATCGGAACCGTTTGACGGCTACATTAAAAAATGTCCTGTCTAAAATGAATTAAAAAAAGTGGGGATTTATAATTTTGTTTGCCAACATTCATCGTGTTCGTGCGTAGTTAGGTCTAATTTGTGAATATTAGTGCAAAGTGGAAACAATCAGTCGTGAGCAGTCGTACATCTTGAGCGGTCGTGAATCGAGAGTTTGGAACTTCCCATCATTACTCCCTTAAGGGAGGAATATTTTTTTTCTAGATGGATGTTGAACCAGCTAACAAAAGTTAACAAAACAACAAGTTATCAGTTTTTGAAATACTTCAACTTTTATCTATTTTAACAGAGTTTGAATATATTACTGTTTAGAAGTTACCCATTTATGTATATAAAAAAGCCTCCCTGTATGTCTACTCTACTAAAAAAGGTGGTTTACGTTTTTATTTTTATTGTCTACTATATTCTCAAAAAATGTGTTTTAAGTTTTTATTTTATTTGTAAGTGTTCTGAAAATAAATCGTTTTAAATTCTTAACATAATGGTTTATTATCATCTGTATCTACAATAAATTAATAATATCAGTATCATTAATACCATAAAATTATTATTAACATTTAAAAAATCGTTGTATTGACTTAAGGGTAATTATTTTGATTTAAATCACAATTTTTGATTTAAGTCATTTTATTGACTTAACTCTTAGATCACGATTTAAATAAAAAATATAGACTTAAGTCATAAAAACGACTTACTAAAGAAATTAAGTCATAAGATGACTTAATATTGATTTAAGAATTTGCGAAGAATTTGCGAAAATGACTTGACTTGAAAGAAAATGATTTAATTCAAAGACTTAATACTTAAATCATTTGAACTTTATCTTAGAATTGACTTAAGATTTAAATCATTTTGATTTTAGAATTGACTTAAGACTTAAGATTTAAGTCTTTTTAAAACTGACTTGTTGCAGCTCTGCTTAAGAATGACGAATAATTTATTTTTAATATCCGTGTCAACCGGTAACTCTTCTACAACTTCCTGAAGTTGTTGAATTATATTAATGTTTCTATCGCTATTATTAATATTGGCAATTAAAGAACTAATGTCTACTGACGTTATATCTAAAGAACATAAAGATTTTTCTATACTATTAAACTTAATACTATGATCCTTATTATTATCCTTAATTCTAATTATTTTTGCAGAAAAGTCTATAGTTACACCATTGTCCATGTCCACTAAGTTCTTTACCACTAAAGCTACCACCTTACAGTTTAAATGTTTGTCTATCTTAATATCTAAAAATACCTGGAGGCTTACTCGATGACTTCGTTGTCCCATGGCACCACGTAGTTGAGTCGCAGCGACAGGTAGAGTTGGGGCCTGTAATCCTGCGCTAATTAACGAGGTCCATAAGTCTTTGGAAACACAGGTTACCACACTACCCGTATCAACTAACACTACACATTGCTTGCTCCCTATTTCAACTATTATTTCGGGCACTACCCGTACTTCACTGTCTCCAACCACCGTTTTTTTAATGGTTTGGACTTCCGGATTGTTTAAATTTAGTCTTTTGACTGGAATAGTACAATGTACTAACGGTGTTTATATTCCTTGTCGCCTCTTTCCTAAACCGGAACCAGGTTTCCAACCTTGTGCAGTAACGAGTTTCCACCCGGTACTATAAAGTTTGTTTAGGTTTTTAATCGGTTCTGACACTGCGATGGTCGCAATGTACTTTTGACCTCTAACTAACGGGATACGTCGACTTAGGTCCGGTTCGGCGCTCCCGATGCGTTTCCCGACTCTTTGTGGAGCGGTTTATTTTGTTGTCCTAAATTTTTTTGTTGCGGCTGACCCTTTGACCAACGATACGGATTTGGCCGTGCGGTGTCAATGGTGCTTGTTTGCGGTCGGTTTTGTACTTGGGCTTCCGGGCGGCGATCCCGAGATGTCTCACGACGACGCACGACAGCGCTCTTAAAATGGTCTCCTCGCTGTAGCCGACGGTCGTTCCTTTCGATCGGTTTATTTTGGCCCCTATTTTGTACGGTGTCTTGATACTGCCGTAAAAACTCGCCGAACTCAATCACTGTTTGCGATCCTTTCACCATCCATAAATTTTGTATGTCCTCGGGATAATGTTGCACTAAATTCGCGAGCAACTCGTCGGGAGGAATCGCAGGTGTTAACAGAGACGCTAGTTCGACCTGTTTAGCTAAATGTCCAAATAAACTGTCCCCCTTCGTCGGTTCATAGCGATCGTGGCTTATCTTATAGCGCACTTCTCGCTGTTTCTTGGTATTCCAATAGGTACGTAGTAAAGCGGCTTTAAAGTCGTCATACGTTTTCCAAGAACCTTTGTACAAGACCGACCACTGTTTTGCCTCTCCCTTTAAACGAGCGAGCGTCAAATCCAACATCTGGTCCGGCTTCCGAAAACTAGCTTTCCTATACGCCTCCAACTTCTTTAAAAACCGTACAGGGTTGACGCTATCATCGCCCCAGAAAGTCGGTTTGTCAGGTAGTAGGTCGGTTTGCGTCATTACACCCCACAACAGCTGTTTCAGGTCTACCTGCCCTTGGTCGTTAACGGCAGCTTGTTCGACAGAGGAACTGTCAGTTCTGTCGGTCGAAATCGTTGGCGACGCAGGCGCCTCGGCGTGTATGATAATCTCCTCGGACGGCGGCTGTACGACGCTTAGCGTCGCACCGGGGTTGACTTCACGTAGCCTGGTGACGGCGCTGAGGATGGCATCGTGGTTGCTCTGTTGCATTCGCGTCAGCTGTTGTTGCATGACATGTTCCCAAATGCGGAACCACGCTGGGACAGGTTCCTCGGGGTTTTCGATAACCACATTTTCTTTGGACATGGCTTGGATACCTGTAAATTTTTGAGCGCTCAGACCGTTGCAATGAATGTCATTAAGGATTGGCTAATTTATTTTTGTTTTCATGTCAGTCACTTTTCCTTTTAATAACTTTATTATCCTGGTCACGGTACCAATTTCTGTAATTGAAAGGACCCGGTCTACGTTGTGTTTAAATAATTTACCCCTTAAAATCTATACTTGCCTTAAAGGCTCGTATTTACCTTTAATTTGGCCAAGAATACGTCTAGTCCAGATTCGTCGTAATAAAGTAGGAAGAGTGACAAACAATCAAACAAATATTTATAACCATATTATTTATTTACATTAAAGAGAACAAAAGCAACTGCGGAAACCAATATTTCGTTTTAATGCCCTTTTTAACAGTAAACCGCCAAGGTCGTTGACCTGGCACCCGAGTCGGTATTTAAGACGAAGGATTACAAGAAGATTGCCGGCAGTCATAAAATCAAGTGACATTTACCCTGCTTTACGGGCCTGATTATGGTAAAACCTTTCCCAGTAAGCACAAATACGTCCTTAGGCTGTCCTCGGGACGTCAGCTTGGGACATTGCGGAAGTACTTAGGACGTCCCGCAATGTCCGTTTGACGTCCCTAGGAGGTCTACAGACGGCCAAATGATACACTTTCAGATGTCCGTAGGACGTCCTGATTAGGACTATATCGGTATATACTCAGACCAGCTTATTAAGGTACTGTGAGGGCTTTTTGAGACTTTTCTTTGGAAATCCGCATGTTGTCATGATAACTATACAGGGTGTTCGGAAACGGTTGGGTCAAATTTTAAGGGTTGGCAGTCATTCATAAATATTTTGATATAAGGAACATGTGTCTGGAAACGCCCATTTTCCTAACTACAGACTTTAAACTCATGAGCAAAATTCATATTTTTCGACTAACCTTGTATACGGCTTAAAAAAATTGATATCTGATGGTTGCATTTTAAGTTTTGGACTATGCAGAACTTTTTATCAAGAATAACTTTTTTTCATAAAACCAATACTTATAATAAAAAAGTTTTTTCTACGACCATTATGTAAAAGTCACTTTTCATGATGGCATCGTTGCTTAGAAAATGAATCTTTTCATTGACAAGGCAAAACACGAATGTAAAGTGACATTTCTGTGTGAAAAGTGACAGGTCTGTGTGAAAAGAACCGGAAAGCATCGTTTGACATTCAGCTGTCAAAAAAGTTTTTAGGTTATTTTGTTTTGTATTTAAAAATAATAAACAATAAAAGGGTCGCAGAAAAAACATTGTGTTATACTTGTGAGAAAAGCTTTCTTCAAGCTCGTGTTAATGCACACTCGGCCTAACGGCCTCGTGGGCAACTTAAAAACTCGCATGAAAAAGTCGCTTTTCAACACTTGTAAAACAAATAACTATTCCATATGGTTCCGACTTAATTGGACACACTGTATACAGGGTGGTTCAGAATAAGATGCTGAACCTTAAGGGTGTGAATCCTTAGTTGATTTTAAGAAAAAAAGTTCAAATAAACCTATGACCTAAAACTTTTATAACTTCCTAGATATTTTTATAAAATTTGGCACACGCCTTCTAAGCATTAATAGTAAGTTTTTGATGTAGAAGATTTTTAATTTTTTTTACCAGTGGCACCCGTACAGAATGTGGTCTAGATATTTTTGGAAAAATATTATGCACGCCACTGCTATTTTTCAAAATAAAAATTATTTTTTAAATCCCCTTTAATTTTAGGGAAAATTTGATTTCTTGACCATTTTTCGTACGACTAACGGTTTTCGATGAAAAAAAATAAAAAGCATTTAATGCGCATATTGAGAAAACAATGCCATGATTAAAATTTAATAAACATTAAAATTAAAGGTGACAGATATCTGTCACTTTGCATCATTAGACAGGTGACAGATGATGCAAATGCTGTACATTTTTTGCCTTTTGGAAAGACGGCATGAAGATATCCAATATATATATATATATGGTATACTATTGCCAATTTAATTCTATGACGTCCTAGGGACGTCCAAGGTACGTCAGAAATGGGATACCCAATATACTATACCCAATTTAATTTCAGGACGTCCCATGGACGTCCAAGGTACGTCAGAAATGGGATATCCTAAACTGGCCCGGACAGACCCAATCAGGATGTCCTTGGGAGGTCGTGTGCTATTTGGGTTTTTTATTGTAAAATCAAATCGGTGTACGAGTGCACTTCGTTTATCGATTTACAGTGGGCATGGGCCTCTTTTATTGTTTATATTGTTGACGATCGTTACGATCGAGAGTTGCCTCTGTTTATTTTTTTTTTTATTTTGTTGTTGAAGTAGTTATGTGTTTCTTAGTACCTTATCATCAGCTCACATATCAACACTAGTCTCTGCGGGAGAATATTTATGAAGTTTTCTTTTTTTTGGGAAGGATTGCCTTTATTGGCTCTTTTATGTGGTTGCCTATAGCTTTTCGGTGGGAATCTTTTCAATGTTGGTGTTCCATCGTTGGGACTAGCCTTTTCCGCTGATCCTACAGGAATCCTGTAACAGGATATCGGAAGGTACAGAATGTATTGTCAATTTAATATTATCACACTCCCAGGTTGCACGCGATTAAACAGTATATTGACAGCCTTACAACTAGCGTTTAGTATACATGCAAGCAATTAATAATGCAAGGTGTCTATATACCTTTAAGAAATTGTTATATTGATTTCCGTTGCAGATCATACCGTCAATATGTGCCTGATGTGGTATTTATTTGGTGGAAAATGGAATAGTCAGTAGTACTAGGGTGTTGTCACCTGATTTAACTGACTGTAGGCAGGTAGATATCCCGGATTCATTTATGAATTTATTTATGAAATGGCTCTTACTCTCTTTACGTTGTAAAAACAATTACAATGAAAACATGTTTTGGCATACCTGTAGTTTCGGGTCTACTCGTTGATTGCGATCCTCAAATGATTAATAATAAACTTAAATAAACTACTTGTTCACTGTTACTACACAACTACTAACAGGTGTCAGCACTCACGACGATAGCCTTTGAAATTAAATGTCACTGCAATTAATTGATTGTCCAGCAGGTGGCAGCACATACACGCGGCGGGAAATTTAAACAAAGTTGAAGCGTTCGTCCGATAGAGGGCGCGATGTCGCGGCGTCGGATTCAAATAACCAAGATGGCTACAACTGGCGTTACACACAAGTTTGAATTAGAGAACAGGAGTTTTTGGAAAAACGTCCGCACGCAACTAGAACTCGAAACTGACTGCCCAAATCGCTTAAGCGACTTTGGATCAACCCCCTCTCATATATCGTTCTTTGTCTTTCCCCATAGTTGGAAAAAGTAAACCATATGTGTGACATGGCAAAATTAAGATAAAATAGTGTTTTAACATTTTTAAGTGGGCAAAGACATTTGAGATAGATATTTTTGTAGTCGAGTAGCCCAGTCAAATAATTCTAATTTTTAAGTGTGCCCTTAGAGTCAAATTTTGTTCTGGTTGATTGGGTTTTTCCGAAATATTGGTTTTTACAATAAAATGTTTTAACAATTAGAATAGTACCGCCTTCGGTACCACTTTAGAAAATAATACACACAAATTCAAGTTCAACTATTCGGTTTTTAGACCGATAATAAGATTAGGTACTGAAAACTTAAAACTAAATTACAACAATTGTATTGAACATAACAATTAAAACTATTACTAACTTAATACTAAACAAGTTATTACCATTATTTAACTAACGAACTATTTAAATAACACATTTTAATATATACAATAAATTGGTTCATTATTATCTGACAAAAGGACGTCCCGTAGAGAGGTATACCTCCTTGCAAACATAATACGGGGTGTACTCGTAGTACAGTGTCTTAGCATTGTCGTATACGTTACCGATTTTTTATTTAAATAATTTAACTAATTTAATTTTGTCGGACACCCCCTGAATATTGAACTTGGGAGGATTCCTTTTGTATTCCAAGATATCTTAAGTGGTTGTTTATCAGTAATGACATCACTAGATGCCATATATCTGTAGCAAACTTTCCTTAGTTGACTTATTTAAGCAAACGAAATAAAATATTATTTTGAAATTTAAAATTGTATTACGGGTTTTATACCTTCAGGCGTTAGGGGAGTCCAACCATTTCAATGTGTACATAATTTTAATTCAATTAAGTTGATATATAGTATAATTTTAATTATGTGAATTAAAACCATGCACATATAATTTTAATTCCAGAATTCAAATTATACACACATAATTTTAATTCACAAAATTAAAATGATACTATCCATCATTTTAAATGAATTAAAATTATCCAAAACATCATTTTAATTGAATTAAAATTATACTTACATAATTTTAATGGAATTAAAATTATGTACATAATGTTAATTCGGCAACGCCGCAATCTCGAAATATATGCTAACGTTAGAATGTTCCTTTTTTTGGTAACTTTTCGTTTGGCTAGTGTGGTAATATGTCAGGCGGTATTTGGTGGGAACACTGTTGGTGGGATTACAATTAAATCTTTTTTCCGTTGAAAAAGTAATTTAAGCACAGAACTATTCTGTGATTTAAGTGCCACATTACCAACTAGCCAAACGAAAAGTTACCAAAAAAAGGAACTTTTCGTTTGGCTAGTGTGGTAATATGTCAGGCGGTATTTGGTGGGAACACTGTTGGTGGGATTACAATTAAATCTTTTTTCCGTTGAAAAAGTAATTTAAGCACAGAACTATTCTTTGATTTAAGTGCCACATTACCAACTAGCCAAACGAAAAGTTACCAAAAAAAGGAACATTCTAAGCGTTAGCATACGTTTCGCGATTGCGGCGTTGCCAAATTAACATTATGTAGATAATTTTAATTTAATTAAAATGATGAATAGAATAATTTTAATTCAATTAAAATGATGTATAGTATAATTTTAATTATGTGAATTAAAATGATGTGTGTATAATTTTAATTCCGGAATTAAAATGATGTGTGTATAATTTTAATTCTGAAATTAAAATTATGTGTGCATAATTTTAATTGAATTAAAATTATGTACACATAATTTTATTACGCCCATATAAAATTATACTACAATATAATTTTAATTATAGAAATTAAAATTATATTAAACATAATTTTAATTCCAGCAATAAAGTTATATCTACATCGTTTTAAATACTTGAATTATTACCTATTACCATAGGAAAAACATTGCAAGTTAACATAAGATTCAAATAAAAATTATAATACCTATTTATAGACGGATTAAAAATAATTTATTGAATTAAAATTCAACATCAACACCTTTCCAATATGTAGTTATTTTTTCATTAATTTTTTCAATTTTCATTATATTATTCTCCATGATGTTGAATAAAAATTGTGTTGTTAAATAGTAAAACGGCTTGCCATATAAATCGGTAACAAATTAACAAGAAGAGGCGCTTACAATAATAAAAATATTGGTAACTATTATGTTAAAATGTGCAGCATATCGTTACTGACACCTTGATAAAATACAAAGTAATTCAACAAAATTGTCGCTTACGATGTTTTGTCAAATAACCATCGATATTGCTAAATTCAGAATTTCATAATCTATTCGAACCTGCAAATTAAAAAAAAAAGGCCGATGACGTCATATCTTCTACAAAAATGGAGGAAATATAAAATTTTTACATCAAAATGTGCGGAATTAAAAATCAAAATCGACATGTTTAAGGAATTTTTTAGGTAAAAAGGCAAATTTTTTAATGAATTTGTTTCCGGTCACTGTATATATAAATATAATAGCGTTTCAAGTTTTATGAATTAAGTACTTAAGTACATAATTATGTATATCTATGCAAAAATAAAAAATTCTTTGACAGTTATAACCTTTTTACTTGTTATTAACCATTAACCTTCATAAAATTATTTTTAAAATTTAATATTCGCACCTCTACTACTTTTCCTCAATTTTAAAACAATTTCAATACTTTCAAGAATATGGAACATGTTCTGCATAACCCTTAAACGCATGTTGGATTCATTCTAGAATGTACGGATAATAAAAAGTTCCCAAAAAGGCATTATTTTATTTAAGGCAAGCACTTTTGTATACAAAATGTGTAAATTGACCATGAATCCCATCTCAAATATAGTTACTTAATATTTTATTTAAATTTATCTTGCCTGAAGTTGCCCCTCAGATAAATTATTAAATAAAAAATTATTTTACCTGTGCAATTTCACACCATCCACATCCAGGTTCCTGTATACAAGCACTACATAGCTTTTTTTGAATACAATCAGCATTTAAATTCCTAAAATGTACGAATAAAAGTACCGAAAATATTGCAACCTTCACAAACAACATTTTAAATTGATATAACGTAGAATTTCCAGATTTCCGTTCTTTCGGTTAAAATGCTGTTGATAATTATTGATAATAAACCAAATCGAATAAATTCCATAATATATTATACATAAAAGTAGGCGTGTTCCAAAAAACGTAGCACAGTATTACTTATTAGTTTTTCAGTATGATGTAGCAAATTTCTGTAATCAAATAATTATCGTTCTTTAATGTTAATTTTTAAAATTTCCGGAACAGTTAAAGATAGTGAAAAATTTTTATCTTTCGACGGTGTGATTAAAACACGCTTTGGTTTTATTAACGAACTAAACGATTTATTTAATAATTTAATAACAATTAAAACACCAAAACAATAAAACTAACTAATCACTTAACTACTAATTACACTCAGTGACGGATTTAGGCTTACTGCCGCCCTAGGCCCCGCCCCGTTCGATGCACCGCCCTTTTTAATAAAATAAATTTCATTAATTTTGTTCCAATATTTGTATTTTATTTAACTTTATTTATTGAAATATAACTTTTTAACTATAACTAATAAACATGACAGATAAATAAGTTATAAACTTTAGACAGATAAATAATATTTTTTTTTGTAATATTAATAGTCCGCGCAAAAACGTCATATCTTCATAATTAATTTCTTGGACTAGTTGAGCTTCAATAGAGAGTAATGCAAGAGCATTAAGTCTATCTTGGCCTATACTAGGGTAATAAACATTTGTGCGAAAATCTTCTTGTCCAGAAAAAGGTGTTCTTTCATTTACCCGTGACTCATCTGACTGAATTCTTCTGTTTTTTTTTGCGACGAGTATCATAACGATAATAATCGTGAACTCCAGATAGTCCTTTGGCTTTTTCTTTATATTCAGAAAATTGTCTGACTTTCATGTCTTGAAGAAATAGAGCCAGAGAAATATAGATCTGAACAACGGATGATAAATCAGCTTGAGATTCTTGAAACTTCTTACTAGCAGCATTAAAACGATCTAATATTACATTCCAAACAATGACTAGGATTGCTGTTTCTAAATGCTGTAATTTTCGCTGCAATCCCGTAGCTTCAGATCGCGTAGTTGGTTTTTCATCTCTGCTTTCGGCAATAAATTCCAGTTCATCAATTATTGCAGGCCACTCTTTTTCTAATGCGTAACATGCATGGTCAAGCAGACCAACGAATTTTAGAAGGACTCTTAACTCTTAAATTTGTACGCTGCACATTTGGTTGCAAAGTATTTAATATTTTTGAATTATATTTAATTAAGTATAGGTATACTTAAAGTGACCAGATTCTTTCAAAAAAAATCGGGACATTTTGTATAAATTTACCTTAATTACAAAATTGACACAATGATACAATGTAAATTTGACGTTACTTAATTATTGTTGATTGTGACATTTTTGTATTTAAGGTTAGTTTACACAAAATGTCCCGTTTTTTTTTGACAGAATCTGGTCACTTTAGGTATACAGTATATACGCATATGTTTTTAAACAATATTTGCATGTGTCAATGAATAAAATTTACTATAAATTGTAATAAAGCTAGATTGTCAAATTCAATGTTCTTTAATGTATACATTATACATAATTTCGTTGTTCGTAGTGAACATTAATAATTAATGATTAATTATGCCCAAGCTTTGTTAAAATTTGTCATTTTAAAAGGGAAGATAAGCAGTCCAGCAGGCCACCAAGTGGTGCAGGCCACCGGGCATTTGCCCGGTGTCCCGGCGGCCCAGCACGCCCCTGCTTTAAGCAATTACCTTGTTAGGTATGTATACAGTAACTGTATACATACCTAACAAGGTAATTGCTTAAAGCAGGGGCGTGCTGGGCCGCCGGGACACCGGGCAAATGCCCGGTGGCCTGCACCACTTGGTGGCCTGCTGGACTGCTTATCTTCCCTTTTAAAATGACAAATTTTAACAAAGCTTGGGCATAATTAATCATTAATTATTAATGTTCACTACGAACAACGAAATTATGTATAATGTATACATTAAAGAACATTGAATTTGACAATCTAGCTTTATTACAATTTATAGTAAATTTTATTCATTGACACATGCAAATATTGTTTAAAAACATATGCGTTTGCTTTAAAACTGTTAAATCTTATATTTAAAAACATTTGCGTTTACTTTAGAACTTAAAACGACTATTTTTAATTCTTACATGCCTGCATTTATTATACAGAACTTACCATAAACCAAAATAAAACCATATGAGCAGTGTTGCCAATGGTGTTGACATAATTTACACACATATTCTGTCAGAATTCCACAATGTTGCCAACTATTCCACACTTTTGGGATTTTGGTTTTGTTAGGTTTCTTTGGTGATTACCGCAGAAAGAGTTTCTGAGGTGAATCACCACAAACACTCTTTCTGCGGTAATTACTGGTGATTACTTACACACAGTATTAAAATAAATTTTACCTGTTGTAAATTGAACTCCTTTTCAGTGTTAAATATAATGTGTTTTTGGTCAAATCATACTACACAGAAAAAAAGGAAACAGGACGTTCCTTGACGCATTACAAGTATATTACCAGTGGTATTATTCCAGAAAATTGAACCTTCAACTCGCTAGAGATAATGTTTTTAGTGCGTTCCACCAACTTAAAATACATCATTGATGTAGTCCTTTGCTTTGGTGTGACACTACAAGTTGTTCGATACTAAAGAGACCTTAAATAGGTGGAAACAGTTTCCACCCATTTAAGGTCTCTTTAGTATCGAACAACTTGTAGTGTCACACCAAAGCAAAGGACTACCTGAGCTTATATACTCTTCATGTAAGTCAACAGAGGCGAGATTTAAGAACATCACGTGATCCACACCGCCTTTGCCGCGATCGGTACACACACTATGTAACCAGGAATGCACGGCAAATTGTTTGAATCGTTTTAACAGTGCTTTAGGTTGAAGTAACTCTTATTTTACAAACAACATATTTAGTAAACTGAACCATACAGCGGGTTGGTTTCACTAAAGTTTTCTGGGTTAATTTAACCAATTACAAAAAATAAAATAACTATCTGGTTTAGTACCTTCAAACTAATCTTTGTTTATATTAATCTTCCCACAGTTGATTTAAATAAATACTTATGGGTCAACTAAATTCATATAGTTAAATGAACTATTCCTTTTTTTCTATGTAGGTGCACTTCTCAAATATTTTTAGATAAACACCGTTTTTGTGTTTGCTGTATAAAACATTTTCAACCATAATTCATGGTGTTATATTAACACCACTTGGTGTTGGATTTTGACACCATTTTAAGATTACTCTTTACACCACAGATATTTTAAACAGTGTATAACCGGTTTTAAGTTACTCGATAACTTACGCTTGCAAGTTTCCAAAATCACCAGATTTTTTTAATTTGCTGTATATATAGAAATCTGCACAGAAATTAGTCCATATAACTAAATAACTAAAATGCGCATTTGCAAATATATCTATTAAAAGAAGGAATAGAACAATAAACCAATAGTGGATAAACACACCAGAAAACCATCAACATACACAAACATCACATCAGCAAATTCGGCAGCTCTCTTTTGATCGAGCGGTACACGTTGAATGACTCGCCATCTCACTTTTTCATTCCAGTACCGACCGTAGGCGGCCGATGTTGCCAAACTTACCTACATTTTTACTGTCAAATTGTTAACCGTTCTTTTGATTCTAACACTATTTAAATGCTTGATATAAGCATTGTTAATTTAAGGTTAAAGTTTACACGCAAATTCCACACATTTATGTATTACACAAAAATTACACACAACAAAATAAATTCCACACAATGCGTGGATTTCCACGTACATTGGCAACACTGCATATGAGAACCACTGCCTATTTCGGGGAATTTAAATTAACGCGGCAAATACCTAAATCAAAGATTGCTCACGTGGTGCGCAAAGCAGTTGATTTTTGTTCGCATTCTAAAGAGATTGACTTTTTTTTGTAAAGATTGTGGGTATAATATATAAATAGTATATTAAAGTACAAGTTGCAGAAGGCCACATATTCTCGCACGAATTCGAAATTTGGCCTCGAGCGACGAAGGAGCGAGTGGACGAACGAATGAGTGCGAGAATAGCCTTCTGCAACGTGTGATTTATACTATTTTCTCGATTTTAACTTTTATTTAGGTTTTTTTAATTGTTTTGTGGTCGTTGTTAGTTAGGGGATTTTTCTCGCAAAATGTCAGTTGGCAACACAAAATGACAATATTTGTTATCCTGCACAAGTACAACCTGAACTGCACTTTTACACATTAAACTTAAAATTTTGCATTAAAATGCATTGTTGGAGCAAACTTTATATTACAAAACAATAATAAAGGCTTCATTTTCAATAAAAGTAATGAATTTGAGGTTATTAATCAGTTTGACATTTTGGGGGTACCAATACTTAAAAACTAAATGTTACCAAAAATCGTTTAAGAATGAGCTTCATTCTTCAACGATTTTGCGTGCGAGAATATGACATTCTTACATAAAAATCGAGAAAAACATATCTATAACCGCGTTTCAAATCGCGTATGTGCCTTTAGTGTTCGGTTATAATTATAATATTATAATAATTAATGTCATTAAAATTTATAAAAAATCGTTTAAGAAGTACACTTAGTGACGCAAATTTGGAAGCTTTCATTCTTATGGCTGTGGAAAAAAGTGCTAAATGACTTAGACAGTGACATAATAATTGATAAACTACCTGAAAAAAGTTCCTTGTTGCGAAGAGAGTTATCTCGCGACGTTTTATCAGCCGAGGTGTCATCGTAATATCTAATCTTGTAAGTATTTTTTATAATAGGTAGGTGAATGTGGTTTTATTTTATAGGTATTAAATTTTTTACTAGCTATAGGAAGTATATGAAACTGGCTTGAGTCTGGACTGCTCTACTATCCAGTCCAGGCCTGCATTGGACTGCCAGCACGCCCCTGCAATTTGCTTTTATAAAGAGTAGATCTTTCGTAACAAA